GGGGGGGGGGGTGAGCAGCGAGAGAGGAAGGCCACAGCATCCTCACAGGGGCCTTCAAAGAGTCTCTACTGGAGAAGGCTAGAGGGCAGGGGTCATGGTCAGGGACTGATAGGCTGAGGGTGTAAGGAATGGGGTTTGGCTCGTGTAGATGGGCCATTGACAAGAGTGAGAGGCCAAACAATTAACCTCATCTTTGCTTTGTCTGTCTTGAACCAGCTGCCACCTGGGTTACCATGGAGAGAGGTGTCATGGGCTGAGCCTCCCGGTGGAAAATCCCTTATCTACTTATGACCACACAACCATCCTGGCTGTGGTGGCCGTGGTGCTGTCGTCTGTCTGTCTGCTCGTCATTGTGGGGCTTCTCATGTTCAGGTGAGTGTCAGGGGCCCCTGCAATCTGTTTCTGCAAATCACTTTCATTCCTTGTCTTCCTCCTGGGTCTTCTCCCTGGTGACCACATGAGCCCTCCAACCTCCCCAAATTCTAAACTAGGATTCTGATTGCATTCCTGAGGACAGGTTCTCCAGGGATCTGAAATCTCTGGCATAACATGAGTCCAGTGTCTAGAACCCAGGACAAAACTTGCTGGACCATAGCAGGTCCTGCTACTCATAGCAAGCCTGGTAACCCACCCATGGAGCCACCTTTCCACACAGTTCTTTTTCCTGGCTCTGTTGTTTAATGGCATTAGTGTGTGGTTTGGTAGTCAAGGCATGGGTAGTGCTATTGGTATATCCTTCCAGTTCTGAGGCATTTGGCCCTCAGGCCATTCTTCCAATCCAGGCGATGTTCTAGATTGGAGGAGACCTACCAAGCCGCACAACTCAGTTGTTGTGAGACCTGCACCAAGTTACCTGTCTTTTTGAGGGTTCTAATCTTTCAGTGATTATAATCTCTGTCCAACTACCTCTTAAGGATGTTGCTAGGATTGTATAAATGAGGTGTAAATTTCTTAGCAAATTATAGCCTGCTGCTGTTAGAGACAATTTGGGTCCCTTGGGGCAGTTGGGCCTTTGACCAGAGGTCTGTTGGGCTGCCATCCCTCTGGGCTTTTCCAAGTAGTGGATGGAACCACCATGGCAGCGTCCTTTAGAAGGACCCTCTCTGGGACCTGCACCCTGTTGTAGCAGGCAGAGCTTGCTTACAAAATTTAACCTTCCTCAGGTACCATAGGAGAGGAGGTTATGATGTGGAAAATGAAGAGAAAGTGAAGTTGGGCATGACTACTTCCCATTGAGAGAGACCTGTACTCAAGGTAATGGTCCATTCTTTGCCCCCATGGCACCATCACCACCTTTCCTGAATCTGTTTCAAGGCATACTGAATTCTTCTCTTGACCTAGGGGTTGGCTTGACCTGGGAGGGTAGGCTACCTGTAGAGTCAGGGTCCCAGTGCAGGATTGTTTTCAAAAAGGCTGTCAGCACTTTATCTCCACTTAGGGTGAAAGTTGCTAGAGGGATGCCCAAGAGAGATGCCTGAGAGACAGCATCTCCTGCCCTCACCCCTTCTCCTCCCACCCCCTCCCAGGTGATCTTTCCACTTATTAAGACTTGACCTGGGAGACTCTTAAGACCTCTTAAGACTGGATCCAGCTTTAAAATTCTACCTCTTATGCTTTAGGAATCAGCTGGGGACTGCTACCTCTGAGAAGACACAAGCTGATCACAGACTCCGCAGAGGGGAAGGACTTCACAACTAGCCATGAAGACTCCTTCATCCCCAGTTGCCATCTAGATTGGGCCTCCCATAATTGCTTTATCAGAGCCTTCAAGTGCCAAACACAAGATGTCCAATGGGATCTGGGTCAGAAGGAAGCAAAAGTGAGGGACCTTCATGCCCTTCTGATTCCCCTCCACCAAATCCCACTTAACCCTATAAAGTTTGTTTAAACACTTGTCTTCTGGATTAAGATGCCAGTTAATTCCATATGCTCCAGGATCTTTGACTGAAAAAAAAAGAGAAGAAGAAGGAAAGATTTGTAGACTAGAAGAAAGTAACAAAAGATTGAAAAGCCACGGACTCAAGTAGTCACCAAGGGATCTGCCATTTGGACCCTCCAGTGCTGGATTTGATGAGCTAACTGTGAAATACCACAAGCCTGAGAACTCTGAATTTGGGACTTCTACCCAAATGGAAAAATAACAACTATTTTTTTTTTGTTTGTAAAATGCCTCTTAAATTATATATTTATTTTATTCTATGTATGTTAATTTATTTAGTTTTTAACAATCTAACAATAATATTTCAAGTGCCTAGACTGTTACTTTGGCAATTTCCTGGCCCTCTACCCCGCATTCCCCCACCACCTGGCTCAACATCACCCGCTTTTGCCGCAAATCTGAGATGGCTCTATGACCCATCTATAATCCATTGTCTGTCCACATTTCCACAGATCTTCCATGATCAGAGTGCCACAGGGGGCGGCCTGTATGGTCAGGATGTAGGAGTTAACTTTGTCAGATCCACTCTATGAGTCGGACTACAGTCTTGCCTAGGCGATTTTGTCTACCGTTTGTGTTTTGAAAGCCCAAGGTGCTGATGTCAAAGTGTAACAGATATCAGTGTTTCCCCGTGTCCTCTCCCTGCCAAATCTCAGTAGAGGTGGGGCTCCATGCTTGCAGCATCCTGGCCCCTAACCCCCATAGCCCCAGGCCCACTCTCCCTTGTGTCAAGACATTTCTTACTCCTGCCATTCTTCTGGTGCTACTCCATGCAGGGCTCAGAGCAGCAGAGGATAATCGAGAGAGGTATTAGTGAAAAAAAAAGGCTGAGGAGGAACAGGAAACATTGGAGCTGACTGTTCTTAGTATTGATAACCTACCAATTGCTATAGAGAAGGTTGGAGGTGAGGACAGCTTTTGTGTAAACCCACCCACCTCACTGAAACTATGAACGTATGCTGTCATGGTCCCTTCTGGAAGTTTCTGGTGCCATTTCTGAACTGTTACAACCTGTATTTCCAAAACTGGTTCATATTTGTACTTTGCAATTCAAATAAAGATAACCCTTACTCCATAGCCTTCTGTCTGCTTGTTTTAACTGGGAATTGGTTTGACATAGGTACTTTCTAAGCCCTGATTCGATATTAGATCTACGCCAGGCCCGTTTATATACACTCAGTATTCTCAACAACCCTGTGATGGAGGTACTACTGTTGTCCCATTTTTGCAAAAGCAGAGGCTCAGAGAGGTTATATAACCTGCCTAAGGATGCTCAATTGGTAAGTGACAGTTGGGACCGGTAGTCTGACTCTGATTATTTGTCTAAATACTTACATCACACTACTTCTGAGAGGAGAGAGAATAGATCTTTCACATAGGAAGTTTGGCTTGGCTGTAACCAGGAAGGACATGTACCCATTCAGTCAACCGACCCTGGACTCAGGGCCCGATCCTTGGCTGTATTTGCAAGCAAGCATTGCTGTTGGTGGAAACGAGGCACCTTTGACTCCCCTCCTCTGCTCCACAGCTAATCCATCAGTAAGTCTTACCAGCCCTACCTTGAGAATATATGCCCAATGCAGCCACTTATCACTGCCACTGCCATCACCCTAAGTCCAATTCATTCTCTCTCGCCTGGACTCTTACAAGGGCCTCCTCTCTCACCTTGCTCCCATGTAGCCCATTTCCAACATAATAGCCAAAGTGATCATTTAAAACATAATCTAGCCCTGATGGCATGGCTTAGCAGTTGAGCATTGACCTATGATCCAGGAGAACTCCGTCTGATTCCCGGTCAGGGCACATGCCGGGGTTGTGGGCTCCATCCCC